TCCTGGCATCGCTACTAGGAGAGAAGACGCTACTAGGGGCTCCTGGCCTCGCTACTAGGAGCAAGGACGAGCACGCTACTAGAAGCTCCTGGCCTCGCTACTAGGAGCAAGGACGCTACTAGGGGCTCCTGGCCTCCCTACTAGGAGCAAGGACGCTACTAGAGGCTCCTGGCATCGCTACTAGGAGCAAGGACACTACTAGAGGCTCCTGGCATCGCTACTAGGAGCAAGGACGCTACTAGAGGCTCCTGGCATCGCTACTAGGAGCCAGGACGCTACTAGGGGCTCCTGGCATCGCTAGGACGCTACTAGGAGCTTTTTGCAAAGCAGTTGCTGTGAGCAAATCCCACTAGCACGCTGCGCCACGGCTAAGTCCCGGCAAAGTCATTACATTTATGGCACACCATGTTTCAGGAAACATCCCCACTTTTTCCCGAATGCGTAGCGAAGGGTTCTCGTTTAACTCTTTGGGGGTCTGGGGGTAGAGCCTTGTTCGCGACCCGTTGTTTCTATGTTCGCAACCGTCCGCAACCGTTCGCAACCGTTCGCAACCGTCCGCAACCGTTCGCGGTAGAGCGCTAAGGCGCTGCCATTGGAGGAAGCTTTTGCAAGTGACTATGCATGGATGTGTCACGTGTTAGTTTGCGACCCGAGTCCATTGTGATTTGCGTGAAAAGGACATGTCGCGCAAGAAGCGTGATGCATTTCGCTGCACAGGCGCAGCGTTTTGTGAGATCCGCAGATTGCTGCGCAGTTCCATTGGGATTAGCGTTTGGAGAGTCGTGTTTTTGGGGTGTTGGATGTGGCCGTGCCATTGGGAAATGCCGATTTTGGATTCTGGGCGTGTGCTCAGAACGGGTCGAAATCATTCCAAACGTGTGGTGTGGTGCAAATTTTGTTGAAGCTCACATGAGATGACATTGTTACTTTTCGTGGCAGGCGCAGGACTTTGTGCGGGTTTCGAGGTGTGGAAGTGGGATTTTCATGGCAGGCGCAGGGAATCGTGAGGTTGCGATGTGTGATGGAGGTGACATTTCGTGACAGGCGCAGTACTTTGTGCGCGTTAGACGTGTGGACGCGGAAAGATTCGTGGCCGGTGCAGGGAATCGGGAGGTTGTGAGTTGTGGTAGAGGTGAATGTCGCTGTCACATTGGGATTGGCGTTTGAGCGGGTGTCGTTTGGAGGGACTGGAATCGCGAAACTGCTTGGCGGGTTTGCATGATGTGTGTGCTCTGGTGGGTGCTGCCGCTGGACTTTTGGAGGACGTCTCATACGAAATCCTCGTTTGGCAGACTTTGACATGTGAGTTTTGGAGGAAGTCTCGTACGAAACGCTCGTTTTTGAGACTTGACGCGTGACTTTTGGAGGAAGTCTCGTACGAAACGCTCGTCTTGCAGCCTCGCAGCGTGACTTTTGGATAAAGTCTCGTACGAAGAGTGTGCCCTACAGGAGTGTCCCACAAGAGTGTCCTACAAGAGTGTCCCACAAGAGTGTCCTACAAGAGTATCCCACAAGAGTGTCCCGCAAGAGTGTCCCACAAGAGTACAAGAGTGTCCCACAAGAGTGTCCCGTATGAGTGTCCCACAAGAGTGTCCCGCAAGTGTGTCCCACAAGAGTGTCCGACAAGAGTGTCCCATAAGAGTGACCCACAAGAGTGTCCTACAAGAGTCTGCAACAAGAGTGTCCCGTAAGAGTGTCTCACAAGAGTGTCCCACAAGAGCGTCCTACAAGAGTGTCCCACAAGAGTGTCCCACAAGAGTGTCCCACAAGAGT